TGTGGTCCCAGCTACTTGGGAGGCAGAGGCAGGAGAATCACTTGAGCCCAGGAGTTGGAGGTTGCTGTGAGCTATGGCGCCATAGGTCAAGCACTACTCTTACGCACTTCCCATATATTCACTAATTTAATTTTTTTCAAACTCCTTGGCTTAAGCCAATCTCTTGCCTCAGCTTCCCAAGTAACTGAGACTACAGGTGCCCTCTACAACACCCAGCTATTTTTTGTTGCAGTTGTCATTGTTGTTTAGCTGGCCCAGGCCAGGTTTGAACCCACCAGCCTCGATATATGTGGCCAGTGCTGTAACCACTGTGCTATGTATGTACATGTGCCAAGACCACTAATTTAATTTTCACAGCATATGAAGCAGATGCTATGCACATTTCCATTTTACAAGGGAGGCAATTTAGTAACTTACCAAAAATCATAGAAGTAGTAAAATAAGGAGAGATAACTCATACTGAGCCATCAGGCTCCAGAGTGTGCACTGCCCTCCACCGCAGGACATGGCCAATATGTTTAACATAAGTAATCATTTTATCTTTAGGCAACCTTGCTGCCTCACACTACGTTACACCTTTGTTCCTCATGTATGTTCTTCCCCATGTCCCATTTTGGCCACTAAAACATCAGAACTATTTCCACAAAAGCCTTTTAATAATTCCTTCCTTCAACACACTGTATACCTACTATGTGCTTGGTGTGGTGCAGCTTGCCTAGAAGCCAGGGACACTTACATTTCTGTCCAGGTACACTTTGTGTATTCCCAGTCTCTATATAAACATCAGCTAAATTCCAGGTCACTGGTCCCAAATTCAGGTGTGCTGGCTTCTGACTATAGAAGCAAGAATGAACTTGGCAACTAGCAAGGTGAAAACACAAATCCCCATTTGCCGATATCGTGAATTACATTTTCTTTCTCATGAGGCCTAACCGGCCATCTCCTAGGCATGAGGGCCAGGTAAAGAGGGGCCGGATTCTGGTGTTGACTGCCAACCGGAATAATTTATGTACCACAGAACACGCCCATTAAAAGTATGCAGTTCGGCTTGGCACCTGTGGCTCAAGCGGCTAAGGCGCCAGCCACATACACCTAAGGTGGTGGGTTCGAATCCCCAGCCCGGGCCTGCCAAACAACAATGATGGCTGCAACCAAAAAATGGCCGGGCATTGTGGCGGGTGCCCGTAATCCCAGCTACTTGGGAGGCTGAGGCAGGAGACTCGCTTGAGCCCAGGAGTTGGAGGTTGCTGTGAGCTGTGATGCCTGATGCCATGGCACTCTACCCAGGGGGATAGCTTGAGGCTCCGTCTTAAAAAAAAAAAGAAAAGAAAAAAGTATGCAGTTCAATAATTTTTAGTAAATTTATACAATTATGCAACCATTCCCCCAATTAAGTTTCAGAACAAGTCAATCACTCCGAAAAGTTCCCAAGACCCTGTACTGACAACTGTTATTTTATAGCCTTTTTTGGAGTTCCTGACAGTGAAACTCAGTCCATGTATTTATAATGAATACTTTTTATATTCTCTCTGTTTCTTCCAAGGGCAAGAATCTCTATTTCCTGAGACCTTTCACTGGAGATTATTTTCTCTCATTTTCTTTTTTTTTTTTTTTGAGACAGAGCCTCAAGCTGTCACCCTGGGTAGAGTGCTGTGGCATCACAGCTCACAGCAACCTCCAACTCCTGGGCTCAAGCGAGTTTCCTGCCTCTGCCTCCCAAGTAGCTGGGACTAAAGGCGCCCACCACAACGGCTGGCTATTTTTTGGTTGCAGCCATCATTGTTGTTTGGCGGGTCCGGGCTGGATTCGAACCTGCCAGCTCAGGTGTATGTGGCTGGTGCCCTAGCCGCTTGAGCCACAGGTGCCGAGCCCCTTTTCCACTTTATAAGACAAGGATATAGCTTTGAGAAGGTAAATGATTCAGAGAAGACACCAATAGTGCGCAGAATCTAACAGTGCTGCTGCCATTAATTCAACTTCACCCTAAAACTTCAGTTTTTCTCTCTGCTACTAATTCCCATAAACATACAGAATATGTTATTATTTCCCAAACCACTTTTACCCCATTTCTTACTTCAACTACTTTCTTTCTTTCTTTTTCAGACAGTCTCACTCGGCCGCCCTGGGTAGAGTGCTGTGGTATCATCACAGCTCACGGTAACCTCAAACTCTTGGGCTCAAGTGATCCTCTTGCCTCAGCTTCCCAAGTAGGTGGGACTAGAGGCACCAGCCACGATACCCAGCAAGGCTCACTCTTGCTCAGACTGGTCTCAAAACAACTCCTGAGCTCAAGCAATCCACTGGCCTAGGCCTTTCAGAGTGCCATTTGCCCTGGGTAGAGTGCTGTGGTGTCATAGCTCATAGAAACCTCAAGAGTCTACCTTCTGAGTAGCTAGGACTACAGGAACCCGCCATGATCCCCAGATAGTTTTTCTATTTTTTTTTTTTTTTTAGAGACAGAGCCTCATTTTATCACCCTTGGTAGAGTGCTGTAGCATCACAGCTCACAGCAACCTTCAACTCTTAGGCTTAAGCGATTCTCTTGTCTCAGCCTCCCAAGTGGCTGGGACTACAGGAGCCTGCCACAATGCCTGGCTATTTTTTTGTTGCAGTTGCTTAGCTGGCCCAGGCTAGGTTTGAACCTATCACCCTCAGTATATGTGGCTGGCACAGAAACCACTGTGCTACCACAGCCCAGCCATACCCTGCTCTTAGACACTCTCACTCTTGTTCAGGCTGGTATCCTACTTGTGAGCTCAGGCGATCCGCCCGTTTGGCAAAGCTCCCCAAGTGCTGGGATTATAGGCATGAGCCACCTCGCCTGGCCAATACATTATTTCTTTGATGTGAAGTATCCAGAATAGGCAAATCTATTAAAACATAAGATAGATTAGTAGTTGCCCTAAAGCGGAAATGAGTTTAATGGATTTGCTAGTTTCTTTTTGGGGTGATGAAAATGGTCTGGAATTAGATAGTGATAATGTTTGAATAACTCTCTGAATATGCTAAAACCACTGTACACCTTAATTAAGGTAAATTGTATGGTACATCAATTATAAGGCAATAATGATTTTTTTTTTTTTTTTGAGACAGAGCCTCAAGCTGTCCCCCTGGC